CCGGCCTTCTGCCTCCCCCAGCCCTGCCGGTGCCTCGCACTCCTAACCCGCAGCCCCTGTCCCCCTGGCTCTGCCGGTGCCCTTCACTTCCGACCCACAACCCCCCCCCTTCCCCGTGCCCCTCTCCTCCCGCCCTACTGCCCCCCGCCCAGACTACAGGTGCCCTCACTCCTGACCTGCAGCCCGCCTTGCTAGCCCCAGCCGCTATGCCCTGCCAGGGCATATCACCAGGAGCAGGCAAGGTTTCTGGACGAGTGTGCAGGATTGGGCCGCAGGCAGGGAAGAGGAGTCAATCTGTGCTGCTTGGGGCCAGGGTGACAGGTGTGAGGAGTGGGGACCCTGTGCCAGGCCTGGGTACTGGAGAGGGGGCAAACCCACCAGAGCTGAAGGTGCATCCAGGGCCTTGCTGTGACCAGAGTGCCCCCCCACCCCAGCTGGGAAAGAACCCAGGTGTCGGGGCCCCAGGCTCACCAGGCCCCACACCCTTCCCAGAGCAGGGAGAGAACCCAGGTGTCCAGGGCTCCCAGCCCCCACGTAGGAGCCTGGGCGGGGGGAGGGGGAGTCTGTCTGTCTGGCTGTGTATCTGTCAGGGGCCTGACTCACAGCTAATGCAGCGCAGGCCCTGCAGCCTCTCCCTGGGAGACCTCAGAGGCTCCATCCCTCTCCGCCAGCTGCTTCCCATTGAGGGCGGCCTCTGCCTGAAGGTGAGTGAGGGAGGGGGGAGGCCAGGAATCCCCCACCCCTCCGCCTGCCAGAAAGCTCCCCACAGCCCAGGCTCAGGCAGGGAGGAACCCCCCCAACCCCCAGCATGAGTTTACAGGGACCCAGAGCACACAGGAACTCCCCAAGGACCCCTGCCATAAATGCAGCCCCGCTGGTGCCCCTCATCCCTGACCTGCACACCCCAGGTGCCCCTCACTCCCAACCTGCACCCCCTTCTAGCCCTGCCAGTACCCCAACCCGCAGTCCCTTGCTCCCGCCCTACAGGTTCCCCATCACACCTACCTGATCTCCTTTGCCTTCTCTTCCCCCTCCAAAGGCTGGGAGCCCGGACGCCTGGGTTCTATCCCCAGCTCCTCTGGGAGGTGTCAAGGCATGTGGGGTGGGGAACGGACAGACAGACAGACAACTCCCCCAGTTACTGGGCACAGATCCTGGCCCTGGCCCTGGCCCTGGCCCTGGCCCCAGCGTGCGCGAGAGAGCCTTTGGGTTTCAACATGAAAAGTTAATAAAGTCGCCGCCGAAGGGGCTGGTTTCGGTTTTCTGGGCAGCGATTGAATGGCAGGGCGGGGAGCGGGGGGGAGAAGGGGGGGCGATGGGTGAGGGGGCTTGGCCAGTGGAGGGACCTGGGGAGGAGTCCTGTACTCCATGCCCACTTGCCTGCTTCTCCCCCCACCCCACCTGCCTCCGGGTGGGGGCATGATAGGGGCACCTGATCCTTCTCCCCCACCCCCTCTCCTTCCCCGGGATCTGGCTTTGATTAAGGTCCCAGGGCGACTGGGTGATGATGGGGTCGGAGGCCAGGGGGGCAGAGAACCTTCCCCCCCCCGCGCCGGGGCATGCCAAAGCCACCAGAGTGCAGAGCCAAGGGGGCACAGGTGCCCCCAGCCCAAACCAGAGGCTCCCCCCAGGAGGGCAGGGCCTGGCTCACCTGAGCCAGGCAGCGCTGGGGCCCCGGCCCCCGCCCCCTGAAGCCCCCTACCCACCCCTCCCTTCCTCACCTACACCCAGTTCCCATCACTTCTCACCCGTGAAACCTGAACCCCAGACCCCCCCCTGCGTCTGGGGGCCAGAGAGAACAAAGCAGCCGGCTCCTCTGCCAGCCACCCCCCAGGGACCCCAGACCTGTCTGGCCTCCTCTTTTCATCTCCTTTTTGTCCTGCTCTGTGTGTGTGCATGGGGGGGGGCTGAGCTGGGGTGTGGGTGCATCTCCTATTACCCAGCCTGGCCAGGCTGGTTTTTTTGGAGCGGGCGATGAGAGAGAGTCCGGCCTACCTGAGC